ACCAACCGATGAACGACTGGGCACGAGTGTGTCGTTTTGTTCGGCCTCAAGTTGAACTCCAAAAAGAAAACGTCAAGTGCCGAAGTGAACGGTACATCTTGAACGAACCCTGACCTCTGAACTCTTAAACCCGAGTCACTCGAATGTGTAATTCAGTTGGCTCGCAATCACGTTTTATTTCTGTTGTCACTTCCCCCGCCACCGTGTTTGAGCTTTGAATTTCCCACTACTTTGCTACGTGTTGTTCAATTTGTAAATATTGTATTTCCGGTGTTTCGGTCATCATTTAAAATATCCACCGTTTGTATACTTAATTGTTGCCATTGAACATTCGGCAAACCCCCTCGCTGCCCATCTTGAAAACTCGTCTCAAAACTCACTCGTATTCTTCGGCTTTTGACTCAGCGTGAGTCAGACTTGATTTTTTTTTTGTTTGACTGTTTTTGTGCTTTCTGTTGTCTTTGTTATGAATTTATTGTTTCGGGGGTTTTAGACATGATATTTGCTCCATGTACAGCACTTTGTATACAGCGGTGGTTGCTTTTAAAGTGCTCTGGAAATACACCCGAGTTAATTGTGGGGATGTTTGTTTTTTTTTTTTTTCCCAGACTGATACCAGCGGGAGTGCTGATCCCTCAGTAGACACCGATACCAAGTACCGAAACCATTACTGGTAGTACTAATGATGCATAAAATTTCCCCCCAAAAATGACAAAGAAAGTCCCGATTTGATTTTCATGATTTTTGTATTCAGTGTTTTAACTCCCTGTAAGACTCTTCTGTCATTATATAAATAGGCTTGATTTGAACTGTATATCCCAATATAGCATTTTTCCTTAAAATTGAACAAAATTAAGAATTTTCTATTCTTCTAATTTGTAGCTCCTGATTGTAAAACGGCCACAAGAGGGCAGTCGATACTAGTACAGATACCCGTAGCCTGTACGAGTATCGACGGTCAGGAAGTAGAAATGAGAAGGATAGAAAATTGCTCATACTTTTATGCAATTTTAAGGGAAAATGCCATGCTCTTGTTAACACATCTGTCGTACTTTTTGGGGGTAGTTTTTATTTAGTGGTATTGGTACTACTCAAGAGTTCAATACTTGCTCTGGTATCGAACATCCCGAACTTTTTTTTTTGTACTTTATTCCAAGTACAGTTTTAGAGATTGTCTCAAGTTTAAAAAACAAACAAACATTAGTTTCCGTTATTGAATATGAAACAAATCTGTGTATGTTTGTTGAAAAAAAACATATATTTGTTGTCTTCTTTGTTATCATTTGTGGATCTTTGTTGACAATTTGTTTGAGGTTGTGTGCATTATTGCCGTCGTTCTTCCTTAGTGGGCCGCAATCTCTTTTGATTCGGCCGATAAGAGACCAATCAATTGTGAACTCGGCCTCAGCTTTCAAGTCTTGCCTTTCAGGAGCCACGAGGCGAGCATGAAGAAGTTTGCGGGCTGCCCGGCGCCGTGCGGCGGCGGCGGCGTTCCCGGCGAGCCCGTCTACCTCCTGGACGTGGCGCTGCACCCGGCCGGCGACGCCTTGGCCGCGTCGTGTTCCGACCTGGCGCTGCGGCTCCGCGACCGGGTCACGCTGCGTCCGGTGGGTGAGTATCGCGGGCACAGCGGCCGCGTGTGCGGGGTGACCTTTGCTCGCGCGCGGCCCAACCTCCTCTACTCGGCATCCGAGGACGGGACGGTCCGGGCGTGGGACGTCCGTCGCCCCGGCGCCGCCGCCCAGCTGTTCCGCGGCGACCCGACGCACAGCTTCTGCAGCTTCGACCTGAGCTGCGACGACTCGCTGCTCTGCGCCGGCACTTGGGTCAGTATATGGTCTGACGGTCCCGCGTACGGCTTTCCTCCTGAGACGGCGCCGTCTTGTGGCACAAGAGACACACATGATGGCGTGGTCCTCGGTTCATGTGCCAGGGCGCTCGTCGGCACCGAGCCGCTTGAGTGGTTGGAGTGTGAGGAGCGGAGGGAAGGGATGTTGACAAAATTGAGGGAGAGGTGGCGAGTGGATTTTCACATGCTTCTGGCACCGTGCTGGAGATGTCGAGCTCAATGTCGTCGGCCTAACGGTGAAAACGAAAGGCCATGATGACGGATTGCCAACGGGGAGGCGGACGCGCTAACCGGTCGGCCGCTGTGTCCTATTTGGAAAGCCGTTATGTCGAAGTTGGCCTTCTCACGCAGAGCAAGAACCAAGAGTTGTTGCTGCGGCTGCCTCGACTTGACTTCCTGACGTGACACAGCAAATAAAATAAAAAAGAAAAAAACTCAAACATTTTTGGGAATCGAGGCACTGCAATGACTCAAGTAGTCGTTTCGAACCCTTTTCATCACATGCCCTGCGATGGAGGCTGAGGGAAATGTGAATCATGACTTTGATTGATTTTGGGGTCATTGATCACCCCAAAAAGGGGGTCGGGTGGGGGGGAGACAAAATGCGTTAGCTGTGCCGCGGGTTGATTTTCTCCCGGTCTCTTGTGTTTCCGGCCCGCCGACGCGGCTCAGCTGGATGACGAAGACAGTCTGTTGGTGTTCTGGGACAGCAGGAAGCCAGACGCGGCCCCGCTGGGCGCCTACTCCGAGTCGCACAGTGACGACATCACGCAGGTGCGCTTCCACCCGCGTGACAAGGACCGTCTGGCGTCGGGCTCCACCGACGGACTGGTCAACGTGTTCGACCTGCGGCGCGGCTCAGAGGAGGAGGCGCTGCTCTGCACCTGCAACGGCGACTCGTCGGTGGCGTCCGTGTGCTGGGCGGCGGCCGACGGCAGCCGACTCCTGTGTCTCAGCCATGACGAGGGGCTGCGGCTGTGGGACCTGCGCCAGCTGGACACCGAGCGACCGCTCACCGTCTTCAGTTGCCCGGACGTGCGCGGCCTGGAGCCGATGCCGGGCGGCCGGGGTTTGGATTACCTGGTGGGCGGAGCCTGGCTGGAGGCGGCGGGCAAGCTGCTGGTGGTGGGCGGGGACAAGGCCGGCGACGTCCGGCTGATGGAGTGCGACGGCGATGGGCTGCGTCTCCTGGCCGGCCTCCGCGGGGGACACGCCGCCACCGTCAGGTGCTTCGTGTGGGACGAGGCCCAGGAGGCGCTGGTCACCGGCGGGGAGGATGCGCGGCTGTTGCTGTGGAAACCGGGGCGGGAGGAGGACAACGATAATTCGTCTGGCTTAGAGCTCAAATGGAAGCCACATGAAAAAGTACAAATCCACAAATAGGCCACCATCGCAAGATAAATGTACTTAAGTTACTCTGACATTTAAATTGTATTTTAACTTGCGAGTACTCGATCAAACTTTTAAAATGTTTCAACCGTGGAGAAAATTGGGCATGTTCACAAGGCGACACGTAACTGGCTGATATTTTTTTCCACACAGTGAATAGTAGTGGCCTGAGGATTGACCTGTGAGGAACTCCGCATGGTACTTGCATTCGATCAGATTGACTTTGTGTTATTTTCAATGTCGTCGGGAATCCCTGAGTGGGCTTTTCTGATTCTTTCCACATTTCTGACCGGAAAAATAGTTTGGTTGTCATTGAAGCCTCTTTCTTGGCCATCCATGTGAATGCTTTTTGGCCCGCTGTCCACGGTCATTGGCTGGCAACCAGTCCAGGGTGTACCCTGTCTCGTGCTTAAAGGTCTGCCGGAATAAACTTGCGCTCCCCCATGACCGGAATGAGAGCAATGCTATACTGAAAAGGAAGCTTCAACTCAAAATTCAGACTCGACTGAACGTGATCTTTGTCATTGGTACATTCAAAACAGAATTTTTGAAAACCGTTGACAAACTGAACTACCCGGTAGTCAGACTCAACAAAATAAAATGTTTGAATTTGAACCGAGTGGATATTTTTCAAATGCATCTCCAGATGTCTCAGTGCCCATCTCGGCTCATTGGTGTGGAACTCATATCAGTGGCTCTTGGCAGGGGATTAAAACTCTATGACTCACCTGAACACCGAGCGTTCCGTTTGTCTGATTAAAATGCACAATAAGTTATGGTGATGAATGGAGAGGGGTCGTGCACTTTGTGTTAACATGCTTGGGTGCGTCTGGTCGTGGCTAGGCAACAAGTGTCCGGACAGTGCAGCAACACGATGCACTACATCTTTTGTCATGGTGGCAAGCAGCAATTTGGCAGGCGATCAATCCAGGCTGTAGCGCACCTTTTACCCAGACGGACAGGAGCATGAAGAGTGTTCCTAATGAAGTGACCAGCGAGTGATGCTTTCCCTTCATGACCACCCAGTGAGAACGCCCGCGGCCTTGGCACACCTGCAGCGTCGAGACAAATCCACGCCCAGCAGGAATGATGCACGCCAAAGCATTGCAAGTACGATTACGTACAATGTGGGTGACTGACGCAATCGTATTCCTCGTTTTAATCGGGCGGCGAACGCTAGCAGCTCTGAGGCCCGAGAAGGACGACGGCTGGGCGAGGGCACGGGGCAGGGCCGCCGCGGACAGGTTTGTCCTCATTCCGGGGCGACAAATGTCGAGCGAAAAGGAAACGTCCTTCCCGTTTGCGTCAAAATCCCTTTCCGTCTTTTCTTCCTTGCTGCTGGCTTCTCCGCCGGATTGAGGACGTCACAACCTGACCACGCCTTCGTTTGACCGACGTACGTCGAAATCCAACCGGAATCGGCGCCATCGCCCGTCGCAACCATTTTTTAAAATTCCAAAATGTGGAAAATATAATAGTAGTAAATAATGAGCAATTGTAGTCATCAATACAAATACAAAAAAAAAGAAAAAGAACAATCACTCAACCAGTGAGCGCAGCCCGGCTGAGCCAACGACGTCACGGACCGACCCCGCCCTGCAATCTGACTGACGCGCTTTTCGCCCAATCACAATGGCGGTTGTCGCCCGTTGTGACCAATGGGCGCGGCGGGAGCTGCCGAGCAAGTTCGTATGCTTGCGTGGTGTGAGCGGTGGTGTTGACAATAGGTGCGGAGCAATAGCAGGCTGGCAGGCAGGCAGGCAGGCAGGCAAGCAAGCAAGCAAGCAACCAGGATTGCGACTCCAGAGAAGAAGAACACGCGCAGCCGGACGTGAGCGTCAGCAGCAGCAGCAGCAGCAGCAAGGAGCGGGAGTTGGAATAGCACCACCACTACCATAATCATCATCGGCAGCGAAAGGACGAGGAATGTAAAAGCAATATTCTTCATGGCACTTTGAGGGGCTGTTCGCTCGGAAGGAGAACCGCCGCCGCAGGCCGACAAGCTGCCTCGTTCCTCTTCCAACGCTTGGGAAAGGCTGCTCGCATCGAGCTGGAGGTAGCCCCGCAATTTAGCCGCTCCCCCCCCCGCCCGCTAGATTCCCAAACATAGGATAACTCCTCGCCGCCGTCTCCGTTGCGAAGCGCAGAGGATCAAGGTAAAGTACCTCCCCTCCTCCTCCTCCCCCTCCGCACCGCTACCACCACCTTCGCCCCCCAGTGGAGCTAACGGCGGCTTGTCAGGACTCGGGACGGCGCGTCCAGCCTGGGCTTGAGTCGCCCCCCCCCTCCCCACACCCTCCGTCAGTGTGTCAGCTATCGCTAGCAGCATTAGCTCCGCTTCGGTTTTTACGTCTGGGATGATGGGTGACCGTCCGAACCCGCCCAGGTAAAGTGTTTCGGCTCCGCAGAACCTCAATGACTTGATTTGTATTTCATGTGTTCGTCCGTGTTTTCATGTTGTTGTCTTTTTCTTGGCCGGGGAACGCGGCGTGCTAGCTCGATGACGGCAGGCTAGCTAGCCAGCTAAGCACCTAACTGCTCAGATTCGCTTAGCCGAGCTGCCAGAAAGCAGCGGAATTTCAACTCGGATGACATTTGCTGTCACTCTTAGCGATCAAAGCTTCCTGGCGCCACGGGGATGTCTTGTCCGCGCGTGGAAAGCGACTCGCCAGTGGCCGACGGCGGCCGGGTCTGTCGAGCGGCTAAACGGGAGGCTAGCCGTGCTCAGTGGCTAAGCGCTAGCTGTCAAATTCGGAGGGTTGGAGCTTCGGCAGGCCCGATAGGGGCCGGAAAGAGCCGAAAAGAACGCGGCTGCGATCCGCTCATCCATGTGGAGAACTCGACAACAACAATTCCCGATTTTGCAGCGGAAACGTGCAAGCGTATACACCATCCTTCGTCAACACTTTTCACTCTGGAACCCTTTGTTTCAGTTGCAAGGGACGTCATTGACACGTTTTGTTCTTGTCGAAGCAAATGGTTGCAAGTTGAGCGCTTGGCCTGGCAAGCAGCTTGAGTATGACTAGTCAAAGTCAATCGATCGAAGATTGCAGCCAGGGGACGTTCCGAAGATGTCTTCTGGCAGTCGGGCCTGGCACACACAGAGAAGAGATTGCAATCTTCGCAGAAAACTGTTTACCCCTGACAGAGCCCACACGTGACAGGATAAAAGTCAGCCATGCACGCAACCGTTTTGGTCGCACCGTGCGTGTAGAGCGCCGCAAATAATGTCAATACAAGCCGTCAAATGGTGTTCACCCGGCCGTCCCAAAGCAGATGTTGTGAGGCAACAATCTCATGTCATCCCTCAAAAGCCAAGAGCACAACACACTTCCGAACACGCGCCTGCCACCGCCACCGAAAGACTCCGTAAAGGATGCGAAAATGCACCAATTTCATGCCGCCGTTTTGATGCAGGCGATTTATTTTTTGGGGGCGCGGGGAGGGTTGAATCGGGGTTTCATCATCTTCCTCCCGCTCGTTCCTGCCGACTGCTATCAGGCTATTGAATAGACAGACCTGAAAACCTGGACTCTCCCCCACTCCCCCTATTTTTAATACGCTTATATTTTATATTTATTTATATACTTTTTGTACTTCTACTTCTCCTTTTGATAAGTTTGCTGCTGTAAATTGGGAATTTCTCCATTGTGAGACAAATACAGGTTTTCTCATCTTATTTTATGATTGGAAAGCCTACTAAACACCAAAACAAAGTAGAAGGAATTCTGTACTCGATTGTCCAAGTGTGTCAGACAACTGCGCTTATGGATTTGAAGAATGAGAAGTTTTGTCAGAGGCCTCCCGAGTATCGCAACTCATGTACTTGCTCTTTTGAGAATTTCAGTCGCGGTGAGAGGACGCGGGTTGGACGTGCCGAGGTGCTTCGCGCATCACGGCGACATATGGAACGCGGCGCTTACGTCGCCACTCGAAGCGCACAAGGAAGAGCGCGGCTTGGCGAATGAGTTCCTCCCACAAATAGCTAAAAAGTTTGAACGGGAAGATCTTTTCATATTTTAAAGCCAAACGGATAATCGCATTATAAGGCCTGGGTACTGCTAGCAAACTCGGCAAACCGTACGTGTCGGCCCTACGATGCATATTGTGATATGTGTGTGTCCATCAGCAACGATTGGCACCCTGAGATTTTCCATCATTCTCGGTACATTTTGAAGGAAACGGTCCTCTGATATTTTGATGTAGCCAGACAGCCAAAATACATCTGAAGACTGCCACCTGAATCCGTGTAGTAAACAGTTAGCTTGCCGGGTCACGCCCTAAACGCAGAGTCAGCAAGTAGTACCGTACTCACTCTGAGTCACGAACTGCCCCACTGTCGTGTGGTGTTCCACAGGGCTCGATTGCGGGGCCTCTGCTGGTCTCCCTGAATCTGCTCCCTTTGGGTTCCGTCTTAAGGAACGCTTTCTCACGAAGGCCACTTTCGTCCGGTCTCGAGGAAATCAAGACCAGGATGGCATTGAAATTCTTGAATTTCAATCAAGATAGCAGAAGTGATGGCGTTTGGTCCCGGCGGCCCTTGGACATGCCATCATGCGGGCTTGGGCCCCCTGGCTCCTTGTCTGAAGCCAATAGTCTCGAACTTGGGACTTAAACTGGACAGTGATTTGAAATGAGACCGACAAAATGATGCCGTGGTCAAATCCAGCTTCTTTTATCTTTGGGCGGCTGGCCAAAGTCAAACCTCTCCTCTCTCAAGAGCGCTTTGAAACGCTAATTCATGCCTTGGTCACATCTCGGTTGGATTACTGTGACGCGCTGTACTTTGGAGTCAGCCAATGCCTCATCAAGCATCTCCAGTTGGTCTCTTGACTAGTACTCGTAAAGCACTTTGTATCCAGCGTTGGTTGTTTGAAAGTGCCCTATAAATACAGTTGAGTACTCGTGAATGACAAAATCCCAAGCAACTGGGCAAACTCGAAGTTGTCTTAGCTAACTCGGATTTGTCGGTGGTACGAAAGTGAAAGGGTTCGCCATTGAGGCCAAATGTGCCGGCGCTGGAGCGTTAGGTCGGACCGCGCTGGCCTCGACGGCATCTCGTCACCCGTGTGAACTCGTCATTTTGTTGGCCGCAACATTCCTCCATTAGTTGTGGGAAGCCTCTGCTTTCATCTGGCCTAGGTGGGCACGAGTCTTTGAGTAGCTAGGACAAAAGTCAAGCAGTGATTTCTTGCTTTTTTTAAATTTTCTTTGGTTTTTTTTTTTTGAGGGCAATGGCGTCCCAAAACCTTCAATCGCCCTCAATTGTTTAACTGCGGTGCGACTCTTCGCCTTCCCCGTCAGCGGCACGACGGCGTGATGTCATCTTAGGCCAAGGCGTACATTTGCTACTCTACTTAACTTTCGTCCCGCCTGTGTTATGTCCACACATGCCTTTCCCGGCACACCAGTTACAAAAAAAAAGTTTCGGTGTCAGTGACCGGCTGTTGAATGCGCTCGGATTTGCCGATCGCGCACCTTTTCGGGATCGCGGCCGCTGATCAATGAGAGCATCGCTAGCGTCGATTCTTTGAGCAAATGGAAAAATGCGTCGCGGCGACAGGCCCGCCGCCGAGGCGGTCCGTATACGGCAGCGGTGGCCTACCCGATCACGTGCTGCCCCGTGTCAAGGCGTGCGCTTGACTTTTGGAGCGTCGGCAGAGGAGCAGCCCGGCGACGTGAGTTGAACATTCAAAGTCTCTGCGGTCTTCGCCGTTTATGACTAACTGCCGCCCGCTTATCAGTGCAGTGGGCGTGTGTCGCGGGCGGCCACATAGGCAGAGTCCAGACGTGCGATCCCCGGTACTTGTTTGTTTTTAGGATTTGTCAAATGTTCCGGTCAAGGTGGGCCTAAAAATGGCTGGCACGGAGTGAGTTGAGATGCAAAGAAGGCCGAGGACGACCGTGGCACGTTCCCGACCGACCTTGCGAACGCAGCCTGAACGCGCCGTGTCGCTTTTGTGCGCCAAGCCCTGACGCTGAAGTCAAGGGGGGAAAAAAAAGAGCAGTGACATTCCTTCAAATGAACATTTGCCATTGTTTGGGGTCCCAGTGCTGCCCTCAATCTCCCTTTGCCAGCAATATTTCCCCAAAAATAGGAGCCGCCTCATCGGGATCAGCGGCTACTCGGCACCATTGCGACTTACACTCGAGCCGGCTCGCTCGGCCTACGCCCGCAAATGCCTTTTTCCTATGGATCGTCTGCCGACGTGGCCGCTTTAGAGCGCCTCGTTGTTGCGCGTGGAAAAGCTCTTGCGGCCTTCCGCGTTCCCCGGCCCCCCAAAAAAAAGGCATCTTAATTAAAGGTGCAATCATCATTTCTTTTTGCATCAACGGAAGGAAAGAACATGGTTTTCATTCGCTTCTTTGAGGAATTGAAAAAACAATCGATCGAGTCATCGATGATGAGGGTAATTGTGAGTCACTGTCCAAGATGGAAAGAAGGAAAGGTTTTGATGCCATCCATAAATGAATCCAGAAAAATGCAGATGAATTGATGATCAAACGAATTGGCAGTTGCCAACCCGGGAGGGAAAATGGATTTTTTTTTTTTTCTTAACCCCTATATTAACACAATCTGAAAAAAATGAGCTGAAGCAGCCCGACATGGAAATTAGAAAACTATTTTCATTTGGTTTGTTGCAAGAAATCCAACAATGGATGGAAGTTAGTGATTCCCCCCCAGGTTGTGCGATTCATTGATGACTCCTCCCAATGCGTTCTTCCAATGAGCGTTAGTTGCAGCCGTCCGTCGTTTGAATTTGCTTGTCGACTTCCCGTTGGAGCGGCCCTTCCTTCCCCTTCCTTCCTCTTCCTTCCCTCGGTGGTCTCGCTCGCTCTCTCCTTCCTTTCTGTCCTTCCCCGCGCCGTTGCGTTCCGTGCTTTTTCTGGACACGGACGAGCCTCCTCCCCTCCTTTCCTCTCCTGGCGTAATCCCTCCCCGGCCCCTCCTCCCCC